GAGGTTTTGTATTTGGATGGTGTAGCCACCCTTCTTAATGATATTATTTTAAGTGAGGAAACTTTAGGTGGGCCTTTCACAGATGGTGCAAATGGAATGCAAGCTGATGGATATCTTGATGACGGAGCAAAGTTACCTTTATAAACATGTTTTGTATTAGTGATAAGCAAAAATTAAATAAACAAATTAGAGAACAGTTTAAGAGTAGTAAATCACAGCCGTTGGATTGAAGATTAAAGTATTACGATATTCTAGGCATATTCTTGCACATGAATCATTAGAATATTCTCACTGTCCAACAGTTAACATTGACTAGTTTCGACTAATTTTTGACCCTTGGACGAACACTAGTTCTTTGATTACTTTCCCAAAAACTCGCCAATGCCTGCCTTGCTCTTGACCTTAGTAACTGGAAAAATACTGGAAGAATGACACAGACCTGCATACCTCTCCACCTCCATTGAATCAACTCACTCCTTCATAACGTTGAGGATCACTCCAGCACCGACGGTCTTGCCACCCTCGCGAATCGCAAATCTCATCTTCTTCTCGCACGCGATCGGGGTGATGAGATCCACCTTCATGTTGACGCGATCACCCGGCATCACCATCTTGGATTCCTCCCCTTTCTCACCGGTCACCTCGATCACCTTGCCCGTCACGTCCGTCGTTCTCATGTAGAACTGGGGCCTGTAGCCACAGAAGAATGGCGAGTGGCGTCCACCTTCTTCCTTCTTGAGCACGTAGACTTGCGCCTCGAACTTGCTAAACGGCTGGATCGATCCGGGCTTGGCGAGCACCATTCCCCTCTGGATGTCCGCCTTTTGGATGCCTCTCAAGAGCAATCCACAGTTATCGCCAGCCAGTGCCTCATCCAGCTCCTTCTTGAACATCTCGCACCCGGTCACCGTCGTGTTCCTCGTATCGCCCAGGCCAACGATCTCGACCACCTCGCCAACCTTGACGGTGCCCCTCTCGACCCGTCCCGTGGCCACAGTTCCACGCCCGGTGATCGAAAACACGTCCTCGATCGCCATGAGGAACGGGAGGTCGGTCTGCCGTGGAGGAATCGGGATGTACTTGTCCACCGCGTCCCGGAGCTCGTAGATCTTGTCCACCCACTTATCGTCCCCTCGCTTGATCTCCTTGTTGCTCGTCAGCGCCGTGAGAGCGTGAGAGCTGATCAGATACCACGGGGACGTCGTCTCCCGGGAACTCGTACGAGTTGAGAAGCTCGCGGACCTCGAGCTCCACGAGCTGGAGGAGCTCCTCGTCGTCCACCATGTCCTGCTTGTTGAGGAACACGACCATGCTCGGCACCCCGACTTGCTTGGCCAGGAGGACGTGTTCTTTCGTCTGTGGCATCGGCCCATCGGCTCCAGACACGACCAGGATGGCCCCGTCCATCTGCGCTGCTCCAGTGATCATGTTCTTGACGTAGTCGGCATGGCCGGGGCAATCGACGTGAGCGTAGTGCCGCTCCTCGCTCTCATACTCCACGCACGCCGTGTTGATGGTGATCCCGCGAGCTTTCTCCTCCGGAGCAGCGTCGATCTCGTCATACTTCTTGGGCTTTCCACCACCGATTCCAATGAAAGTTAGCGCCGCTGTCAAGGTGGTCTTGCCGTGATCCACATGCCCGATTGTGCCGATGTTGACGTGCGGCTTCTTCCTCTCGAATTTCCCCTTTGCCGCGCGGACCACCAGCGAGGAAGAGGACCTCCGCCCGGGGACACGCTCTCTGAAAATCTCGGCTTGCAATGCCTGGTGGAAGCTCTGTTGCGAGTGTGAGAAGCCGAATCCTAGAGCCACTGGCGACCGGGAGGGGGTAATCGAAGGCTTGGCGGCCTGGAAAGTGGTGCCGCTCGCTGCCGCTGCCGAGGACGTGACTGCCGTGCAGCACGCCATGCCCGATAAACCCTAAAACCCTGGCGGGATGGAATCACTGCTCTCGATCTCTTGCCGCGCCTGCAAAGAGCCTCGCATCAAACATCCATCGATCCAATGCCGGCGCTAGAATGCGAGAAATCTGAGCTAGAATGTACCTGGGCGCTGGTCGAAGATCGCGCGCCTCGCCTCTCCTCCTCCACGCCCGCCACAATAATCCCTCAAATGGATAGAGCGTAGCAACGGCCACGATGGATCCAAGCCTAGCACCATTCGGATGCCGCCACGTAGCGCTAACGACAGCCTTCCATTTGAGCTTATATTGACCGTCAGATATTTACGCGATTATAATACAAAAATTTCTGTTTACTAGTAATCATCTCCTTCGTCCTCGTCTCTCCTGTTGCGAAGAACCCTAGAGATCCATCCCACGGCCAGTAATCCCAGCAGCAATGGAACGAAATCGAATCCACCGACGCCTACAGCCACTGCCGGAGCGGGCGGAGCGAAGAACGAGAATGGGGACAATCCCCATCCGCCACCGAAGAATGGATTCCCATAGCCGCCATAGCCATAGCCAGGATTCACGTAGATGTTTGTCCTGCGCACCATCACTGGCTTTTGAAAGTCAAGATCGAAAGTGGGTCTACCTGGAATTGTTGATTCTGGGGCCGGATCGAGGAGGAGGAGCTGATCTTGGCGGTGGAGCCACTCTTGGCGCCATTCTTGGAGCGGAACGGAAGGACTGACCTCCAATTCTACCGCCAGAGGGAGCTGCGATGGCGACGGTGTCGGCAGGATCAGATGAAGATGGAGCTGCGAGAAGAATTCCAGCTGCGATTGCTGAGAAGATCACTCTCCCCAATTTGCTCCTCCCACTGGTAAACTGATCGATCACAAACAGATCACACAGACAATGAAATCGATACCTTGTGCTGGGCGACGACGATTCTTCGTCACTGCTCGAGCTGGAGCATCGAATCCGAAGGCGCTGCTCAGAATGAAGCCCATGAGCGAGCAAACTCTTCCCGGAAGCTGTTGCCATCACCATCACTTGCGCCATTCTCTTCCAAAACTCTCTTTCTCCTTTGTCGTGGATGATCAAGCATGAAAAGAAATACCCTCCCTCTACCGACATAAACTTAATCCTTTTTCTCATGTGAGTAATCAATCATGTCCTTAGGATGTGGTTCTCCTAACTCTAGATTCAAAACCCAGTGATCGAAGGTAGTAAAACTTTCTAGTACTACCATCTCGCATGGTAGTCCATTCTAACACATAGGCATTTATGCTAAACATGGTTCAAATACTTACTATAATTAATCTTTTCAGGTTAAGTAGGGTTTATATTGTTATTTAAATGTATATTAGATGATGGAATAAGGCTAGGATATTAGAACATCCTAGGTATATCCACTACTATATATCAAAAACTATGCAAAACATTTTGTTGGATGTGTATATATATATAAAATATAATATATATATATAATTATAATATTTTCGCAAACAAGTTTTTTTTACTTTTAAATTATAATTTTGACTTTAACTAAAGGATTCTTTAAAAAGTGTGTCATGAGATATTAATATTTTTTAATTGCCTGAGCTGATTTACAATTTCATTATCTACTAGGTGTGTTAATAAGGACCATTTGAAAAATATTTGTAAATTACTGCAAGGCATTTAATGTTGATGATAATCCTTCTGGGCCAGGTCAGCTAACTTTCTCTATCAAGTTATTTTCCATATTCAATATACAATGTTGTCAAAATCTAAGTATTTCTTTTTTCTCTAAGCCGATGAATCTGAAGGTTCGTAACGATCTAGACTCCTTTGTGAGGATCCCAAATCGTCTGCTGTTAGCCTTCGCTTGCTCAAGCTCGCTCGTTGCATCAAACGCACCAAAGCTTGGACAACTTCCGACATTGGAGGCCGGAACTCCGGCTCGGGCTGCGCGAGAGAATCAAACCCAACGAGCTTGGATCATTGGTACAAAACGCAAACTTTTACCTGGACACACGATGAGATGATATCGGCAAAGCGGGAGAGAGACTTGGCCGGATAGATTCCTTTGAGTGCTGGATCAACCATCCTCGACAAGGCATCGATGTCGTGGAGCTGCGGCACTGCCCATCGCACCAGCGATTGTTCGGCTCGGCTCCTCGAGCTGGAAGTTTCAAGTTTGGAGCTTACTTACATAAAACTCTTGGATGGAAGAACTTCTTCAAGCTTTTACCTGTCTAGCGATTTTCTTCCGGTTAGAAGCTCCAGCATCACCACTCCAAAGCTGTAAACATCGCTCTTGACAGTGTACACGCCAGACATGGCAAACTCCGGCGCGCTGTAGCCAAAAGAGACCAGCATTTGCGAAGAAACCTGCAATAAGGACGATCGAGAAAGAAGAAAAGAGATTAAAGACGAGACTGAAAAGAAAAGTGAGATGGATACCTGACGCTCGGCACCGTAAGGAGCGAGTGCTGCTAGTCCACAGTCCGAGACTCGAGGATTAAGTTCCTCGTCCAAAAGAATGTTGACCGACTTGAAGTTCCTGTGAACTATAGCTGGGTGATAAACTTCGTGCAAATACCTGTGAAAAGCATTTAATGATCAAAAGAAGGATGCTGACGAAATAGTTCTTACTCGAGTGCTCGAGCAGCTCCCAGGGCGATCTTCACTCTTTGGTTCCATGAAAGCCTCCTGCTCGACTCATCCGAGCAATGGAGGACTTCAAACAGCGTCCCATACTCGACAAAGTCGTAAACTAGCAGCCTTTGCGAGTGCTCTGTGCAATATCCAACCAGCTCGGTGATGTTACTGTGCCGCAAGCGCGCTAGATTCGAGACCACTTTGATGAACTCGTCCTCGTTTTGTACCATAGGTGCTGAAGTGTCGAGCTTCTTCACAGCTACAATCTGGAAGAACACAACCGATGCTTATAACGAACGAGGAATAAAAAATGCCAAGAACTTTTACCTTGTCATCTATCTCGGCTCTATAGACTCTCCCGAGAGCTCCCTCTCCGACCAGATTTTCCTGAGAAAAGCTGTTCGTCGCAGCTTGGAGCTCGGCGATGGAGATGGCAGGGACGGCAATCTGGAGCTTGGAAGCTTTGCCTGGCGTGGGTGTAATACTTTTCATGGCTGGGCTCTTTTCGATCGAAAGCTTGCTCTTTTCTGCGGGTGGTGGAGTCAAAGGCCTGTCAGCTTTTGGCTGCGCAAACATCTCTCGAGACACTGATCCACCGAACAAAGAAAGAATCGATGAGAAGTTTCATACTCAAAACATTCTTACCTCTGTCCAGGGCAACGAGAGGATGACTCTTGGAGCTTCGCTTCTCTTCGTCTTTGGTCGAGTTGGTTCCTTCTTCGTCCTTGTTTGTTCTTCCGCAAAAGAAGAGAATTACCAGCAAGCCTGCGAGTAAAGCCAGTGCCGAGGCCACCACCACGCCTGCTATCTTTCCAGCGCTCCAGTACCGGCGACTCCCTCTGCTCATCACACCTGATATAACCGGGCCTTTGAGCGGAGACTTCTGGTCGGGATTCTGTTTCACCGTGCTTGGCTGCTGCAAGACTTGCATTGATGGAGCGGAGGCTGGAGCGAAAAGGAATGGAGCTGGCGCAGGAGCCATGACAATCGCTGATCCAAACTGATTGCCAGTTATCCTGACGGAAAGTAAAACATGATTTTTTTCGAAACAGAACAAGAAAAGCTATGGCTTACTTGAGAGATGGAATCGTGAGAAGTGATGGTGGAATTTGTCCCGAGAAACCATTGTTTGTGATATCGCTGCAACAAGGAGCAACATTTCGTGTTTGAGATTTTCGAGAGCAAGAACGTAACTTACAGGTCTTGGAGCTGCTGGAGTTGGCCTAGAACGCCGATATCTCCACTGAGCGAGTTGTTCTCCATATGCCTGACACGATCAAACAGTGTAAGAAACTGTGATCCAAGATCCAAGCGATCATGATTGGACTTACAAAGTTATCAAGCTCGTCAAAGCTCCCATGGAGGGTGGAAGGGGACCACTAAACTGGTTGCCAGACAGATCCCTGGATCAAAGAAATCAATAGAAAACCTGGAGAATAGAACCAAGAACTACTTAGTACTTACAGGCTCGTAAGACTCGTCAGGGATTGGAACATGTCTGGAACGGGACCGACAATCTGATTGTTGCTCATGTTGCTACAACAAAAAAAAAAAAAAAAAACCGAAACTTAAGCTCTCGATGGATCAAAACTCCTGAAAACTTACAAGCTTATCAGCGAGATAAGATCCTTCATTGAGTAGGGAAGTGTCTCGGTGAACTCGTTGTTCGCAAAGTTTCTAGATACGAAAGAGATATCAAGAGCAACACGGAAGAATGAATGAAAACTACGTACATTTCTTGAATGCGAGGTGGAAGTTGATATGGAACCATCTGTCCGATGCTGTTATTGTTGAGATCCCTGGAGAAGAACGAGAAAAAGAGATAGGAGAGTTTAGCATGGATCGAGAAAACGAGCAGTCATCTTACAAGAAAGAGCAAGATTCTCGATTGGAGCCTTACAGTGTGAGGAGACCAGTGAAGTTATAGAGCGCGTAGCCGAGCCATCCTGTTATTCCCAGTCCAGAGAGACGACTTTTGGATGGAAACGATTCAATGAATGATTGTTTCGAAGAGAAAAGAAAGTTCCAAAAGCAAAAGCTTGAGTGGAAGAACTTTCAAAGAGAAAAGCGACTTACATTCCAGTTATGTTCGGGCCAGCACACTGAATTCCTTGCCACAATTCTCCACACGGGTCTACGGGATTCATGCTCCACCCAGTCAGTGGTGGCGAATTCAGGCTAGCGTAGAGAACCGAGAGAGCAAATACTGGAAGAGAAAGCAACAACGATCATCAACCTTGTCAAAATGCTTGAAACAAAGAGTGGAAGATCATACCATCTTGGGGATCTGTCCAGCTTTGAGCTTGCAAGAAGAGCCCCGCGAGAATGAAAACCACAGCCACCATCCTCCAATTCCACCTCGTCGCTCTTCTCGCTGGAGAAACTTCCATGACGAATGGATCACTCTTTAGATTAGACTCGCATTCTTTTCCTAAAGAACCAAGCGACTGTCCAAAGATACTCTACTCTTTCTTCGCACCAGGAAAAAGAAGAGAGGAAAGCTTTTGCTCAATGAATGAACGCTGGAAGCGAGCGAGGTAAAAGCTGCGAGGAACAAGAACACAACAACGCTCCAACTACCAAAGGCCGCGGGGATTTTTTGGCAGGAGCAGCGACCCACTAGCGCAAAAACACGAATTCATGACGCAGATCCACAACCCATCATCGCCCTCGTCTCACATTTTTCTCTTTTCTCCCTCGAGACAACATAAGAACAAACAAACAAACAAACAATGCCACGAAATGATGAAAAGGGCGAGCTAAAACAAAGCAAGGACTTGGCTATGGCTGCTTCTTCCTCGCTCGCTCGCTCAGACCCTCTCTCTCTCTCTCTTTCTCTCTCTCACTCTCTCTTTCTTTCCACAAGAAAACAAATCAAGCAGACAAAAACAAAGGATCAAGAGCACAAAATCCTGGGCAGTGGACACGAATTTAATCTCGTGACTGTGACGATTTTAACACGGAGTCGCAAATTCAGGCTGATCGTCGCCAGATTACTGCCAGTTTGTGTGAACTTTACTCTCTTTTCTTCGATCTTTTCTTTTCTAGTCTTCTTTTGTCTGCGCAGGTGGAAAGCTGCTGTTTTTCTATAGCGACCATGTTCTTCATTGCTGGCTGGCATGAATATAGGGAATATGCTGCCACCATAGCCAGAAAGTTTTCCCAAAGCTCTCTCTCTTTTCTTCTTTTCTCTGGTGAAGGAAGGACACGATCTAACGAAACCAAAGTTCTTTCGTTTGCTCCAAGTTTGCTTTCCAATCTTAAAGTTTGTTGTAGCACAAGGATCGCACCATCTTAACACCATCTTAGCGGCGGCTCAAGATCAAGCTGAGATCACTTCCATTTTCTCACACTCGTCTCTAATCTCTGCAAACAAAGGTGTGGAAAGATAGCGCTCACCGGCACTGGGAAGTATCACAACGATCATCTTTCCAGCGTTCTCAGGACTTTTCGCGATCTAAACAACAAGAATCAATCAACCAGGATTGAAAACATGCCGCATCAAAGCATTGCTTACCTTGATAGCTCCAGCAAACGCAGCTCCGGACGAGATTCCAACCAAAAGGCCCTCCTCGCTCGCCAATCTTCTCGTCCAATCAAGAGCTTCCTCCGTAGTGACGGTCACCACTCTATCGATGATGCTCGTGTCTGTGACGTCTGGAATAAATCCTGGTCCTATTCCTTGGATCCCGTGCGGCCCCTTGACACCACCCGACAGAACTGGACTCTCAGCCGGCTCCACTGCCATGACTTGGATTTCCGGGTTTCGAGACTTGAGATACTTCCCAGCTCCACTCAGTGTTCCTCCTGTCCCACAGCCCGACATGAAGATGTCCACCTTGCCTGCCGTGTCTTCCCAGATCTCAGGACCTTGGAAGTTCATAAAAGACACACTTTGATGAAGCCAGGCAACGAAGAACTCTTTGAAATCTTACCCGTGCTATCGAAGTGAGCTTGAGGGTTGCATGGGTTCTGGGCTTGATCCAGCATGCACGCGTTTGGAAGTGTTTTTGCTAGCTCTCGAGCTTTGTCAAACAAGAAGGCAAATCCTAGAGCAGGATCTGGCATCACAAAACAAGTTAACCTCAGACTAAGAAAACAATGTGTGGAAAGAACCTGTGAGGATGACTTGAGCCCCAAAGGCTTTGAGAATCATCCGGCGCTCGATCGAGTAGCTGGAAGGCATGACGGCCACGACTTTATATCCTCGAACTGCAGCTACAAGAGCTAGAGCGATTCCAGTGTTCCCGCTCGTTGGCTCCACAATGGTTGACACTCCAGGAATAAGGAGTCCCTTGTTCTCGGCATCAATGATCATCCTGGAAAAAACAACCGATAGAACTTGGGTGAAAGAGCTAACTTTGATGAAAGAAATAAAGAACTTTTATGGATCTAAAGTTACTTGGGAGAGAGCAATGCGATCCTTGACTGAAGAACTTTGATGAAAGAACTAAAGAACTTTGATGGATCTAAAGTTTCTTACGAACGCGACCCTTGACTAAAGAACTTTGGTGGATCTAAAGTGAGAGCAATGCGATCCTTGATTAAAGAACTCTGATGAAAGATGGAATCACTTACGACAGAGCCATGCGATCCTTGACGGAGCATCCAGGCTGATATCCTTCCAACTTGACGACGATCCTCGCGAGAGCTCCTTCCTTGGCAGAGATTCTCTTGGTTTCCACCAGGGGCGTCCATCCGATAAGCTAAGCCATTCCAAGTAAACTCCCTTGAAACGAAGGATAAGATCATTTTCTCACCTCCGCGGCGCTTCCAAGGATCCTTTCTCCTCCATCGCATTTGCGATCGATCGAGAAGAATGGACTGGCAGCCTCGCCTCCAGATCCAATGCGAGCGATGGAGGGGATTTCCAGGAGATCCATCGAAACAAAGCGCCCTAGTCAACCTCGTCTCTCTCATCGCTTTGTCGCTTATATAGATAGGAGGAAGAACGCGGAGAGACGCCGGCCATGGCGTCGTCATCGTGCCTCCTCCTCTCGATTCCGTCCTGTTCTTACACTGGCGCCACTGCTGCGAGCATCGATCGGCCGAAATCTCGAGGTAGGAGGAGCTATAGCTCGTCGATTCGCTGTGGCGCCCTCAAATCCGCGCCCAAGGGTTTTGGAGAGCTCCCCAGCTCCAGCAAGAAGAGGGACGAATCATCCTCTTCTCCTTCTTCCTCCATCGCCACGACCTCGAATTTGGGGCAAGAATCGTCCGCCAAGGGAGAGGAGGACGACGATACCGTGCCAGAGGTTGTGACGAATCGGATGCTCAAGCGCATGATCGTGACGGTGGGAGCGCCGCTGGGGACCGGATTCCTCGCATTCCCGGCCTACTACTTCGCGAAATCGGCGCTCAGGATGGAATTCCCCCAAGTCTTGCCGATGATCACTTCCTTCCTCTTGTTCGGGCTCTCCGGATTTGGGATCTTGTACGCGGTGGTGTCGACGAGCTGGGATCCGCTGCGCGAGGGATCGGTACTGGGGTGGGACGAAGCGCGCGTGAATTGGAATCTCGTGTGGCAGAAGCGCGACGAGGACGACGACTAGCTCTAAAGGGAAATGTATATAGGAGCTCGAAATTTTAGGGTTCTTCGCAAATGTGAGAGCTAGGGTTTAACCAAGAATGGCGAAAGTGACGCTAGATTCGCTGCCGCTGAAGCGAGTGCTCGCGCTCGAGGAGTCGGGAATCGAGCTCTATCCGCCGTAAGTCCGCTGTTGGAAGAGCTTTGCTTGATCGTTTGATTGTAGTGAATCTTCGCAAGACGAGAAGCCGTTGTCGCTTCTCCAGAGCTTGGATTTCGAGCGGCCCGACGAGAAGGAAGCGAAGAAGAGCAAGAGCGGCAAGGATGGAGCGTCGCAGTGGCCGTGGCAGGGTCTCATCGAGCATTTCCATCAAGCAAGGGAAGAGCTTATGACGCTACTGGATTTCATAGCTCATGTAAGTTCGCTCCCATGGAATTTTTTCTTTCTAATCTCTTCTTCGATCCTCTAGGTGGAGAGCAATGAGGCGCTCACAGTGACCCATATGATGAAACCCAAGCCACTCCCAAACGAAGCTGGTGCTGATTTAGCGTTGCGAACGGCTTCAAAGTCTCGGAGTTACAAGGTGAGCTTTGTGAGTTTCTTTCGTTCTAGATCTTATGATAGTTTGTTCCAGGAAATTGCGAGTTATCTCAAGCGCAATGCCAAGTCTCTGGAGCGCCAAGTCGAAAGAGAATCGGTCTTTTATGGAGCTCTTATGCGGTACGCTGTGACTTGAAGATCATTCTCTCTGCGGTTTTGTTCTTTTAACATGCTTTTTTCTTTCTCAGTTTGCAAAGAAACTGGAAGATAAAACGCCAGCGTGGTGTCTCTGCGGGTCCTGGAGGAAAAGCTGGTTTTCTCATGGACTTGTCGTTTCCTCTATCTGTGGACCCGAGCTTGATATCTTCTTCGCGTACTGCTGCGTGGACATTGATCAAAGTGAACCAGGATGCAAATGGGCTGCTCTCCGTGCAAATCCCCGCTGGAAAAACTATCACAACCTTACAGGTTTATCTCAGTCGCGAGTTAGAAGAATACACGAGCAAACAGCAGTTAGAGCAACCACCTCGGAGACGAGACAATCGAGACCCTGACGAGGGAACAAGCTCAGCAAACCATCGACTCCGAAATATCCAGCTATCAATATTTGACGAGCTGGTATGCCTCAAGTTCTTGTAACTTTCTTTTAAACTCACCAGCGATCTTCGCTTGCAGATATTTGAATGCCTGTGTCGGGATGTTCTCCAACCTTCGTCGGCCACGAGCCTGCATGAGATTGGCGAATCGTCTCTAGATATTGGCGCGGGTCCTTCGATAGCGTCATTCTTCAGGCTTGTAGAGGACGACGCTGCAAACGATGCCGCCTTGAAAGAAGTCGACGTCAAGAGGCTGCCTTTGGCAGGCAGCCTCAGAATTTATTTGCAGCAGGGATTCTACTCAATGTTGCTAGCAAGCATCGTACAAAGAAGCGCACCTGGGCCTAGAGCTGGGACTGGAAAGGAGGAGCCAGCGAACCTGCTGAAGAACTTTTCCGTCCTTGCTCGTCACAGAAGCGCCGGCGACAAGATTGTTTCGCTTCTGGACACGCTGGTAAGTCCTAGTACCGACATCTGTTTGAAGATGGATGCTAAAGTTTGGTGTTTCAGGTTCTGCAAGTTCCACAGCTGTGGTTTCGATCTCATCCAACATGGCGGCCTTTCGTCTCGGCCTGGGATGTTTACTTCGACATCCCGGAAGCCATCATGAATGGAGGTCAGATGAAACATCTGGAATGGAACGCGTTGGTTCGTGAAACCAGCGCTACATTCCAGTGCACGCTAGTTCTTCGCCAGGAGATTCTTTCGATAGAGGGGCTTGATGGCTGCATGCCGTTGGGCGCGTCCGGACAAGAGTCAACTGGGATGAAAAGCTGCGTGTGCAGCGTCTCAGAGCTTCCATTTTTCCTGCTCACACAGGTAAAGGAAACAGCTTCCTTCATCTTTCACTCCTTCCCAGCGTCATCGTCTCTGACTTTGTTACTATCAGATCGCGGGGAAAGTCATCGGGTGGCTTGAAGAGGAGGCCGTGCTGCTGGGGCCGAGAGTGAAAAGAGATTTCCTGAGCATCGTCTTCAACATACAAAACAACGGGCTGGTATCGCTTGTGGCCGCTCCATCTGGTTACTGCATCAACTGGTGGTTGAGATTCTACTCTTTCGGGTCAGACGACACGGCTGCTGCTTCCGGGGCCAGTGCTCCAGCTAGTGAGAGGTTCCTGGGACCTCTGCCTCTGGAGACTCTGCGAGCAGTGGTGATGGATTTGGCCATAAATCTCTAGGCACTGGTCCTGGCCTTGTCTTCGGCGAGGGAGGATGCAAAACTTGTCAAGGGGAGAGGGAACTTAACTTCGACAGTGATCTCCTCCAGGTACTTACTCAGCGACTTTTTTTATTTTTACTTTCCTTGTTAGGACGTGCAACAGCAGGCACAGCTGTTGTTGTGTGGTGCAATTACCTACGCGTACTAATCTGGATTTGTGTTTTGACTGTCGTGTAGGTACAGAGAGTTATTTTTGTTTCTCCTGCAAAGCTCAAGATCCATTGCTCCACGCAGCTAGCAGTGAGCAGGATCCCCTCCCAGTTCTTTTAAGACGAAGGAGAAAGGAGTTGAGGTATGGAACAAAGCTGGTTTTCTGAGAAACAGTGACTGTCATTGTTGTTTAGGGGACACCGACATGGCGATTCTCCCTTGGAGCGTACGTTTCAGTAACTTGGATAAATCGGACAGATGCCCGTTGGACTCCTGCGTACGAGCAAAATGCCGTTGGTGGGTCAGGAAAGGAATGACATTACCCGACACGGAGTCCCAGAGGGGAAAAGTTGTGGGAGAGGAAGCAAATGCAAATGCCGCGACTGGGCATTTTGGGCCGAGGAGGAGAAGGAACAGGAAACAGGGGGACATCAACATCAGCATCAGTAGCAAGCACAACGCAACTGATTTCAATTGAAACTCCCAAAACAAACGAGAGAGAGAGGATGGAGGAGGAGGTTAGCTTTCTGTCCCAGTTGGAACATTTAAAAGGTGGAGTCAGAAGTTTTGAGGTGACCGGTTTTGTTGGGTCCTCTCTCTCTCTCTCTCTCTCTCTCTCTCTCTCTTTCTCTCTGTGGGGTGACCCCATCAATGAGGCAAGCAAGCACGCTCTGTCCACACACACACGCGAGAAAAAGATTAAAAAACAAAATATAATCTAATTATTGTAGTATTATACTATTCTATATAAAAAGTAGATTCCTTCATTCTTCTTCCACTTGGTGTTTTTTTCTTCTTTCCCCCCCTGGAAATTGTGTTGCTATATGAGCTTGCATTCAAGGAAGACACAAAGTGGGGGAGCGAGACCACAAGAAACCGAGTGGCAGTTTTAGCGGTGGCAGAAATTTTGATCCCTTGGAAACCGATACAAACTGTGAAAACATGGGCCTATCAATTTGATCCTCTTTTCATTGTTATCGACCCCAAAGCAGGACGAAAACAAACAAAAGAGAGCCTGTTTTTGTGGGTGGTATAGTATTATCTTGTGTGCTCCACGAATTATGTGTGTGTTGGTGTTGTCATTTCATTCAGAAACGAGGCAAGGCAGGTCCATTCACGCCGAGAGCAAAACGACATGAGAAAAAATCCGAAGGCAGTGATGGCGAGAGACATTTTGCCGAATTCTCTTAAAACAATGCTCTCTCGGGTACCCACCGGGACGTTGAAACCACCATATCTGCAGAGTTCCTGCTGTTTTTCATTCTTTTTATTTCCATAGCATCCACAAGCACAAAACCAAACCAAGAACATAAGGAACACAAGACATAGCTCGTACTTGTTTTCAAGGAAACCAAGAAGATGGTGAGGACAAGCAACAGAAATAACAAAAAGCTTAGGATTCCTGAGTACCCAAGCTTGATGATCCTTGTTCTTCTTCCAGTGAAAAGCCATGCATTCACATCAATCTCTACAGCTCACCCACTGGCAGCAAACTTGAGGAGATGAACAATCCTCATGTAGCATTGCTGCACTCCTCTAAGCCTTGTCTGGTTGACACAATTCATCTTATGCTTGATCATAAGCTTCCAGCAACTTCGATCTTGATTGGTGTGGAAGATCTTGGTTCCCTGTCCTGGCTGCATGATCTAGCACATAACATCAGACAGTAGCTTGTATCGCCTGCCAATGCTCCTGTTACTGCTCAAGTGCTGCAGCTTATCTTTTCTCAGGCCGCCATGGTGACCTTTGATCAGATTCTTGAAGCCATGATGATGTTGCTGCTGCTGCTGCTGCTTCTGCTGCTGGTGATGATGATCATTGTCATGATAATGATGAGGGTGATGATGATCGCCTCTTATACCAGCTTGCACAGGCGTAGTGGTGGCTATCTTTTGCCTCTTGGGCGAGGGAGAGCTCGAGCTCGTCGTTACTGCAACTTGGAGCCGCCCGGAGCTGGACGGGCGATCGATGGAGCACTGCCTCGCAAGTGGATTCTTGATGGCATCCCCACCCATGATCGTCTGATCCATGGCTCCATTATCTGCCGCCACTGTCTGGGCCACCTCGAGCAGCAGCTCCAGCGCATCCTTGTGGCCATGCTTGATCGAGCTCCTGGGGCTGCCAGCGCCAGTGGAGTTTCTTATCATCGCATTCTCGTCGCGCTTCTTGCCAGTGTCATTGCTGCCTTGGAGCTTGGTTCTGGTATCACGATCGCTTTCATCCTTCCTGGGCCAATTCGTAGCTCCTGTTACTGGACTCAACGATTCACCTATAAGCTGGCCGGCAACCTTCCTTTTGCTAGCGCCGCCACCACCACCGATAACGCTGCTGCCACCGAGTTTTAGCACTCCTCTCAATTTGGTGCTCGAGGTACCAGCGCTGCTACTGCCAGTGGAGGGATTTGGATCCTGAGAGCACCAATCGCAGATATCTTGGCTGGGACTGCCTGGATAGAATCGGCTGCAGTACCTGGTAATCGGTAAAGAAGACCAACAAGAAGACCGCGTCAATACACTAGTCACAAGAGGAAAAATTCACGCACAAGGAATCTATCACTCAAGAATGGAAGAAGAACCAAGAAACAATTGGAGGAAGAACAATTCTCACGCAAGAAGAATGAGAATGAATCAAACCCATACGTGTGCTGGAATCGGTAGACGCATTTCCTACAGCGGAAGAGCTCGCTGGAGAAACCGACATCGCCACACATGCAGCATTCTTGTTCTTGCTCTTCTAGATCGCGAGAATGGCGATCGTCGCTGGCGCCAAAGCTATCCTTCCTGCCATGACCACGACAGGGATCGCGCCTCTTTGCTTCTCCCTCGCCCAGGCTGCTTATACTCGCCGATTGATTCAACCTGTTCTTGGCATTTGGGGCGAGGCTCATCGCCCCAGCCACCATGGCGCGGAGCTCTTGCACGCTGCGATCTAGCCCTCGCCGCCGTGAATCTGCGCGAAATATCGATCTATCGATCAATCGATATTACCCTCCCTGTGACTGCAGTGACCTCCTCTCACTCGCGATTCTTCGCTCCTCGCCGGGAGAGGAGGAGCTGCTCTCCCAGCTATGGCCGATGGTTCCCGCGGCGACCGCGAGCCCGCTGCCAAATTCCGCGGATCTGCAGAGAACCAAGCAGCCAATTCGAGGGATCGCTGGATGAATCGATGGAATGGAGCGCGAGATCGTGGCAAGAAGGCGAGGATCTTGACGACGCGGCCGCTGGCGTGCGCGCCCCGGCAAAGAAAGAAAGAAGATGGCAAAGGGCGAGGGCAAAAACAAACACACACACCCACACACTGGGAGTTAAAACCAAAGTAGTAAAAAGAGGGGCAAAGAAATGTCATTGACACGTGGATCCACAACGACACGCGTCACGCATCCATTCGCCACCCGGTACGCGCCACGTGGCTGCCCGGTCCATGTGATGGTCTTGCCATCAACGGTCGCAACCCCGCTACGTGTATGACCCGGCGGTATATTCGTGGCCAAAGGACGAATCCTATCTCCAAAGCGTCGTTTTCTTCCACGGACGACCCCACTCGCGATTCGTCGATCAAACGCAGTGCAAAGATTAGATTGAGCTTAACATTGGTACACAAATCAAACCTCCGCGATCAAAATCGATTTTTTCCTTCTCTCTCTCTCTCTCTCTCTCTCTCTCTCTCTCTCACTTTCCCTGCCACAACTTTGTTAGCTACTCTACACAGGTAAGACGTTGACAAGAATACCTCCCAGTCGAATCCAGCTCTTGTTTGTTTTCCCGGCTGGCTTTGAAAGCAAACGCTCGGGGGCTGTCAATGCAAACCGCATGCATGACAGGGAAGATCACACCACAAGCGTGTTGGTGGAGGACCAAGTGTATCTTGCGTTCCACTCGACAGCACCTAGTTACAGATTCAAGCAAACGAGGCAACGATCAGTACTGGAGAGGGGGAACTTCCACAGTAAAATCGGTTGCTACATACCTGAAACCCAAGCCGGGGAAAGAAAGTCGACGGAACAAACTTCTCCTGGAGCCAGATGTGGAGGAATATTAGCCGGAATGGAAATGAATAGACTATGCTTTCCTGTCTCGCGATGATAAAATAAGGAGTTGGAACAGCCCACTTCCTAGTTCTCGCAGTCTGTCCAAGGCCCAGCTACATGCCCACAGGGAGAAAAAGATAATAAAACACACACAACAAGGATGATAAGAGAATAAAAAACTATAAAAACACGAACCAGGAGGACGTCTTTGTGTCATCTCCAGCTACAGTATCGCGTTGGTCACAGCGGCCACCGGAAAGCAAATCAGCAAAACTATATTTTTTTGGATTAGCAACGGAGAGGAGAGGAGCTCCAGAGCCATCTCAATATCACGCTGGTACTTACTTGGCTTTATTTCGAAAACTTAGCAGCGGCAGCAGTAGCAGCAGCAGTGGCTCAGTCGCAGCAGCGAACCCCAGTCGAAAGCCTGTTGTAAATGCCATCCTCTTTCTTTCCCCTGACACACATACCAGCCACAAACAATGGCTGCTCAGCAGAAAGACATTGATCACAGCATTTTCCAGCAATTCTACTACTACCCGATGCCACTGTCCAAATCTCTTGAATGTGCGTGCTCCTCGTCGCTGCATAGAAGAAGAAAAAAAAAAAACGAAAAGAAAAACACACCACAAATTTTTTTAAAAAAAGAATGGAAAACGACTGCAAACCTCGAGACAGCTTTGCGTTTTTGCTTCTCCCTTTTTTCTTTTACCGTTCAGTGGCATTCTATGAAAACTACAGCTTTTGGCAAGAACCTGTCCCCACTCGGTGCTCAGCATCATCACCTGCATGATGAAGACGTCTGGTTCCTTGGGCATCCAACAACACAGCTTCTACTCCCTAGTGGAGTTTTCCACTGCTTTAGTGGTGCTGCTGTAAAGCTAGCATATTGCGTCAATCCTGCAGCGCCAGTTACGTACAAGCCTCAGTATGGATCATCTCACAAATCTAAGCAGATCGTACCTGTGACTGCTTACACTGCTTTAAACCCGGTCGTCTGCGTTTTGTTCCGCTTGTCACGGTCTCGAGGTGCCCTCCGGCAGCGGCGACTCCTTTTGCTCGTCAAGGTACTTCATCATGAACAGGTGGTCGCCGTCTGGTTTCCTCTGGAACATCCGATAGTGCTTCTTCGCCAAAGTCACGCAGGGCCGATATGGATTCACGTAGCGCGCCATAAACTCCTTGTTGTCCATGTACAGCATCTGCGAAAGCTGCGGCTCGCGCGAGAGCTCGCCTCTGTCGTGGAGCAGCTTGAGAACCTCGTAACGGAGTTTTATCCTCCGCTCAAAGTGGCTGTAGAGGAAAGTCGGGTTTCCCAGCAGCGCCTGCGGTGATAATCCCATTACCTCCGTAAGATACTTCACTTTGGTCTCCAGTCCATCCTTGCTTATCTTCAGGATCCGCGGGTCCCTGGATATCATCTTTACCAAATCCTCGCCACTAAATCCCAGGCTTTGCAGGTACTTGAGGCGCGATTTCATGTGCCTGATGCCTTCCGCGACACCCCAGCACAAAGCCAGCACCATTCCATCCGGCCCCAGGTACGCTATATTTTTCAACAGCCTCGGAAGCTTCTCCTTGTTGTCAATCGCGAAGATGGCCGGCCTTTTGACAATCAGCTTCGAGAGTTTCTCTCCCGTGATCCCGGCCTCTTCCAGAAACGCCACCGTGGGCTTCATCTTGTTCTCAACGCTGTGCGCCAGAATAGCCGGGAAAGCAACCAATATCTGCCTCACGTTCCACGGTCTCAGTCCCAGTCCTTGGAGATAGCCGATCTTCTCGGAGAGGCTGTCAACGCTGTAGCCGACGATGCTCGGACACCGTGCAAAGATACGAGCTATATCCGCCGGGTGGACCTTGTGGCTCCTCAAAAACTTGACCTTGGACTTCATCGTTTTGTTGAAGTCGAGAAGTAAAGCCTCCGGGTGGCTCTTGAGAATTCTCGAGATCTCAGGCTTCTCCAGATTCAGATCCAGCTGGAGATAATCCAGCGTCGTGATGTAGTCGATCTTCGGAAGCTCCAGTAGCAAAAAACCAAAATGCTTGATGAGTCGTCTCATCGCGGGCTCCTGGATCTCAAAGTCACGTAAAACTTGCAAGAATGGCTCCCAGTCGTCCTTGATGGATGGCGTGAAAATCCCGGGATAGCGCGAGCACAGCACCTGGAGTCCCTCGGCCACCACACCGTTTGTATGCAAGTACTGGAAGAGATTGAAAACCTCCGACGTGTTTGCCTCGAACAAGAACTTGTTCTTCTCGAGAAGATTTCCCACGGTCTTTCTCTCCACCTTGAGCTCTTCCAAGAACGCCGTCACAGCGACGACGTGCTGGTATCTAGTCCTCATCACGGCCATCTTCTCCGGATCACCATCTCCCGGCAACTCCATCCCAATGCTCTCGTAGAAGAGCAAGACTTTGTCGACTCTCATCTTCGCGAGGTGGCCCTGGATCTTCTCCGCTATAATCTCAGCGCTGGAATTCTGCCCATGCGCTCTCTCGAAGGAATCCAACACCTGTCTCACGAAAGTCGACGCATTGCCCGCGATCGCCTGCGCTACCTCCGCCGGCATTTTCCTCTCCGAGTGGAGAAAACTTCCGAGCCCGTCCACCACAGCTCGCAGCCGCTCCTCCATGCCGCCATCGCTGGCCAAGGAACACATCCCCGCCCTAGAGATCCACCCGGCATTGTGGATCCTCACCCTGGAGGCGCCGGACAGAGCCCTAGAGAGCAATCGCAGCGCCATCGCGGTCGCGCTTACCTCTCCATCTTGCTTAAACCCTAAAATTCGAGCTCCATCTGTGCCCTAACTAGGGTTTTAAAATCAACGGTCACGAGAGAGTCTTCTCTGGATTCGGCTACGTCGTCACCATCGATACCTTGACAATCGAGAAGAGAACGTACCTTCCATTTTTTTAACCTTGTCGTGGAGCTACAGGCCAACCCTTCGTGCCTCCATGCCACCCAGTGCCAATCTGTCATATACGTGATTGCATTGGCAGCTATGGTTGGTGATGTGGCTCCATGATTGAATTTTAAACCCCAAAACCACCGCGCCAACCAAAATGCCCCAAATCAAAAGGCATGGAATGATCTCAAATAATAGATTCCGCGAACTACTGTTTGGCTTGGCCCTCTTCTAGAAAGTTGGCGAGCATAGCAAAGGCAAGTGTGTTTCTAGGTGTCTAGGGCACACCATACCAGCTGCTGAGTGTGAGATCTCACCAAGAGCCCTAAACTTTTTTTTTGCCGGTGGTGGAGTTGGGAGAACTGGCCCATTTGGGGTGCACGTCACCAATGTGGACGTTCCGCCTGTCATGACGTCCTGGGTAGCGTCGTTTACCCGGTGGTTTAAGTGTCAGCCCACGTTTGGCCGTTTGTGTTACCCGGCGGTAAAAGTGGTAAAGGTCCGGCGGCGGACATTCCGTCACACTGGGGTGTCAGCAGACGAACATTCCGTCCGGCGGGAAATGGGGGAAAAGGAGAGGTTTTACGCGGAGACGCTGGACATTCCGGCGTGGAATGGCCAGCGAAATGGACATGGGCATGAGCAGAGGGGGAGGGAGGAGGAAGGGAGGATTAGAAAAACGCGATGAATTGGGAGGAGAGATCCCTTCTGGAGGTTGGCCAATTGGGCCCAAGCGACGATCCACGCGATCGCGACGCCATCGCCCATCCACACCATCACAAGTTTGAAGATTTCTCGCTCGCGATTGCGCCTGTTGGTGGAGGCGGTAGTAGTAGTCGTCACTGGTACAGGGGAGTAGTAATTAGAAGGAAAGGAGGAAGAATTGCGATGGAAGGAAGGCGCTAGCTGACCTGAGAGGAATGATGGTGAGCGAGTAGAAGAGTGAGTGCCTTGGAAATCCAAGCTAGCTTCTCCTTCTCCTTCTCTTCTCCTTGTTCTTGGGGAATTCGCTGGAATTCGAGCTTCGATCCCGCATTCCAGATCGCCCACCAAAGGATCCAGCATTCAAAACTCGCCAGGGACGCGGAATTCGCGCCGTGTTTCGTCTCGAGCACTCTTTCGGCTGCTCTGCAAAGCTGTGGCTTTCCTTTTGACGCCCAAAAATCTGGAACAGGACGAAAAGAATGAGGAGCTTTTCAAAAGCTGGATGATCTGAAAAGGAGGAAAAGAGAGCAGGAAAATCGAAAGAGGAGAGGAATTTGTCTCGCTCACCATGCCAAGTCTGATCTCAATCGCCGCTCCACAGGTGGATGAATTCATCACCTCCCCGAAGAAGCTCAAAGCTGCGGCAATTCGGCACAGCAGGAACTCCCGGTTGTGGAGAAGGATTCAAAGCACCACGCTGTGGCTCTTCCTCATCGTCAGCTTCACGCTCTTGACCATGATCAAGTCGGTCGTCATCTGGCATCCGGGAAACCTCCTCAAAAATCCATGTCAAACGGTAAGAACCATCTATGGAATTCACCGGCGATTGATCACGGAGAACCTCAACCTCGATCCCGCGAGCCACCGGCGGCCTCAGCAGCAATTGCCGCTGATGATCCTCCCTCTCAAGCCGCACGAATTGCCCAAGAACTTGAGCGATTCGGAGAGGGAGTTTTGGAAGCAGCCCAACGATCTCGGGTACCGACCGTGCCTGGAGATCAGCAAGGAATATGCTCAGGCATCTAGCGCGATCATCCGGCAGAGGAGGAAGTATCTCATGGTGGTCGTGAACGGAGGATTGAATCAACAGAGGAACCAGATCGTCGACGCCGTGCTCATCGCCAGGATTCTCGAGGCCGCGCTTGTGATTCCAGTGCTGCAAGTCAACCAGATTTGGGGCGATGAGAGGTAGGCGCTAGCAAAAAATCTTTGACAAAATTTCCCACCAAAGGAGCTTTTCCATCGCAGCGAATTCTCGGAGATTTTCGATGTGGAGCACTTCAAGAGGATCTTGAGAGACGACATCAGGATCGTCTCGTCGCTCCCATCGACGCACGTCGTGGCGAGGCCAGCGGTGGAGAGCAATATGCCGCTACACGCAAGCCCTGACTGGATTAAATCGCACTACACCCGAAAGGTAGGCCAAATTCAAGCCAAGAAATCGATGCTTGGATGTTTACCGATCGACATTTTCCAGCTCCGCCGCGACGGCGTGCTGCTGCTACGCGGAATGGACTCGCGCCTTTCCCATGATCTCCCGTCCGACCTCCAGAAGCTCAAATGCAAGGTAAGAGCCCTAACCCTAGAAACGAGAATTCTGGCGGGAGCTTTAAATTTGAAACCTTTTAGGCGGCATTCCATGCGCTGAGATTCGCGCCGTCGCTGCAAGCTCTCGGGGAGAAGCTCGCGAGGAGGATGTGGGAAGAAGGGCCTTTCGTGGCGCTCCATTTGAGGCTGGAGAAGGATGTGTGGGTGAGAACTGGATGCCTGCCGGGATTGAGCGCGGAATTGGACGAAGAAATCCGGATCGCCAGGATCAAAAGCCCCCAATTGCTCACCTCGCGATCCAACATGACTTTCGAGGAGCGACGTAAGCAGGGACTCTGTCCCCTCACTGCGCATGAGATCGCAAGGTAATAGGAAAAGTACGATTTCGATTGATCGATCAATTGCGATGGCAGGACATTGAGAGCACTGGGGGCGAATTCAAGGACTCGGGTATTCTGGGCTGGAGGAGAGGCATTTGGAGGATCTAAATCGCTGGAGCCACTGAGGGCAGAGTTCCCGCTTCTCTACGACAAATTCTCCATTGCTGAGCCATGGGAGATGGAGCCATTCAGGGAAAAAGCTTCGAGCTTGGCCGCGATTGATTATATCATCACCCTCAACAGTGATGTCTTCATCCCCTCCCATGGTGGAAACATGGGCCACGCTCTCCGGGTAAGCAAAAACAAGGTTTTAGTTCTCTCCAAAGTTCCTCAAAAACATGATCTCACAAAATTTCTCTTGACTGCCAGGGTCATCGAGCATACGTTGGTCATCGCAAGTACATCACGCCACAAAAGAGAGATTTGATCCAGCTGTTTCTCAATTCAAGCTCCATGCGCGAGGAAGAGATAAATGATGAGATCAAGAGGCTCCACTCTGAGGCCAATGGAAGACCCCAGCTTAGAATGGAGAAACCAACTAGGGATGTGCTCGGTTACCCTGTACCTGAGTGTATGTGCCGCTCATCAAGAACTTGGCATGCTGTTGTTTAGAATTTTTTTTAAGAATTTCTTCCAAAAAAAGTCATTTTTGTGAATTTAAGTTGTTCATCAAAATGGCAAAGTTAATTAAGCTTTTTTGAGATTAAGTAATATTAAGTCCTAGGAAGTACAGTTTTTTAAATGAATTTTATTAGAGAAAGCAATTTAACTTTTTGTGACATTTGTTTGGCATATATCCAGTTTGTTTTTTATCGATGATTGTTCTCAACACCCACCAAAAACGTTTTGCTAGCCAGAGACATAAGAGATGTCGAGAGATACAAAAAAAAACCAAGAAAATGAAATTAGTAATTATAAATAGGAAAAATAAGAAATAATAAGTGTGCTTGCCAAATTGATGGCTAATATTCACTTTAAACCATTTGAACTTTCTTCACCACTTTTTTTTCACACCTCTTCCATAGCTTATAGATTTTACTACTGATGCTGCTGCAAAGCTTGATGTAAAACCTAATCAACCATTAGCCTCTCTTGCAATGGAGATTCTTTGCTACAAACAAGAAAAGACCAATCAAGGATGCCCCATATCACACAAGATTAAATGCTTCACTCAACTGGTATTCTCAGCATTTTATATAAAATCGCCCAGACTATTGAATGCATATTTCAATTGCAACATGCTCTAATGTAGAAAGATTCAATAGATTGTGCTAGAATCTGTGCTGTAGAAGAGGAGAGAGATTGTCATAATTAAAAGATAAAAAATTTACACTCAATGATAGAAGTATGATTTTTAAAAAAAACTAGAGTTACGTGTTAATTGTGTGCATAATATTTTGCATATAACTTAAAACAAAAATATATATTCGTACATGTGTAAATATATAATACTCTCATGCACAACTACATATTCATTGCCATATTTATTTGATTTCAAAATATTGAAAGTGGATATGAATACTCTTTTTATCATATATAGTTAAATACTATTAAGTGATTGATAGTTGGAACTCTTGTTATTTCTGGCCAGATCCATTTCCTAAACTAAAAAAGACTTCACCATCACCAAGAGCATGAAAACCATGCTCGATATGATTAGAAAAATGGTATCGATGGCGCTCTTCCAACACTAATTAGACCATACTTTTTCTAATCAGGCAGTTTTTTTCACGCGCTTAAAGAACACACATGCCTTGGATCCACGGGATTTGTAGAACACGGGATCCATCCTCACAAGGAAATCCGAGCAAAGATCAATTACTCCTGGAACATGAAGTGCAGCCCTTTGGGACGGCAAGTGCATCGCTCACGTCCTTGAAAGCCACTGCCGGGACGACAAACACAAGAACACACACGAAAGGTAAAAGCCGATTATATAGAAACAAAAATTTCTTTCTCGGACACTCGCTTACCTGGACAATCCGAAGACCTCTGGTGGTAGCGAAGCCCATCTAAAGAACAGAGAAAGAATGAAGAAGAACTGACTTAAGATCACACTTTTATCTGGCCAGATGCCAAAGTTGCCGTGAGCCTGACAAGAGAGAGAATGCGTCGCCACCTCTGGGAGCCCCCTGACGCTCTTGATCGCTATAAGAGGAATTGGTGATCGGCTTCTTTATCTTTGCACGATGCGCCTTCCAGTCCCCTTGCAAACTTCAGCATTGTCCCCTTGCATCCAGGCAGCAACACCATGTGGTGGTGAGGATGCGCATTTCCGATGGATTGATCGGCAGCGCGACTGAAGCAAAAGCAGTTCTTTCCGCCCAGGATAGTAGCCTGGAGTGAGGATCACGCTCGAGAAGCACAGCGGGAACACGGGAAGAACAGCGGGAACACGGGAAGAACAGCGGGAACACGGGAAGATAAGTTATCGGGCCAGCAATCCTTATGTTCGTACTTCTCATTGGTGCCACAGCACACACAGGACCCTGACGTGAGCTCAAAGCAGTATGATATGATAACATTCCAGACATGACAATCACAAGAGACAACTCGATTGTCTTTTTCTTTTTCCCGAGTCCTCGAGTTCTTAACGTCTTTCCTTTGTTCGATCTAGTTCCAGTTTCCTTCAATCAATTGCGTCTGCTTTGACTGCTTTGACTGCTTTGCGTCTTTTCTGTGTTTGATCCAGATTGGGAACCCAAGTTTTGGAATCGATGTTGACTGATGCAGCATCTAATGCCCAGTTTAGTAGAGAATAAAGGGGAGGCGCATTTGAAATGTGGAATATTCGTACAGCCCACACGTGTTTTCTGTTGCCATTGGAAACGTGGACTTGGGCTGTGCTGCGGTACAAGAAAGGAATGGTGTGCTTTAAAATCTTCCTTGTGCATACAATGTCCATAGCACCATAATTCACTCAGCAATTGATCAAACAAATTCGTTTCTTATTCCATACCAGCTAAAGATAACTTTAATTTCCGTTCCCCAAAAGATATGTGCAAAAGCACGGGCATTGTCCTTCTTAGATCCCTTCCCTCTTGTCGCAATTAGATGGAAAAAAGCAGTAGATAAGACTATATGGTATCTGTGTGATCCAGTTAGCATCTCTTTGATGCAAATCCCACAAAGAACATCTCCTAGCCCACGATGATCACAGGCTATGCAATGCATGCTCGAGAGAAAAAACCATCGTGACATTGCATAACAACTCCTGCCTGAAATCTCCCATTTGACTTGTTTGACGTTACGGCAGGCGTGTACAGACCTTGACGATGGGACCAACGTGTACGAAGCAATGACCACTGGCCCAATCGATACCTCGCCAACCTGCTCGTCCAGATGTACGGAAGGTGTGGCCCCGGGCAGGTGAAGTGGCTCTTCGATTGGATCTTAGTGTTATGGGACCATCGCATGGAGTATGAGAGCGACGACTCTCACCGACTATGTCACGAACATGAGCTGTGAGCTGCTCACACTGGAATAGCCCTAAGAAAGAAAAAGAATAAACAAAAAATAACTGAAAAAAACACTGATAAAGGTGTTTATTTCCTTAAATCGTCGTTCCCTTTTCTTATGTTGTATATAATTCTATGGAAGGGATGGCAATGGGTAAACGGGCGGCAGCGAGGGCGGCGATAGTATTCTTGGTGCTTGTCGTGACGCAGGCATGCGGACGTGATTACTGCTCTCTCCGCCAGGCGCGCGGCTGCGGGAACGGCACTGTTGAGGTCAAGCACGCTATGAGCGCGCACAAGTGCTTCATAGCCGACACGGTTGTAGCTGCCACGCTCACAGATGTGCGCCGCCTCCCCAACTCGTATCTCATCCTTTTGGAGATGCCGGGCGTGACGAGCAGCAGCGATGTCAAGGTGGCGGTCTCGGGCTCTCAATTCCATCGAGTCGTGTCCATCGTTGGGATCTCTCACGAGGCGAAAGAGCGTCGCATCCTCAGGGATCGTGGTGCCTTCACCAAGATGTTTGCGCGAGAGTTTGTGCTCCCCGATGCAGTGGACGCGGAGAGGATAAGCTACCAGCTTCATAGTGGTCTCTTGCGGGTGACTCTTCCGCTTGTCCCAGGGCTGGAGCAGCAAGAGCAGCGAGAACAAGTTGTGGAGGAGGAGTATATTATTTCACGGAAATTAAGTAGTTAACTGGGATAGGAAATGTTCATAGACATAAATGTAAATTTTGGGGAGTGAAGTTTGCTCCACCGGCATATGTAACCTCTTAACCAGGGTATTTAAATGCCTAATGCCGCTGTTCTGAGCGCTGCCAAAGATCGAGGAGCGGGAGGCAACGTTCCCGTGCGTTCTCATGGCGCTGACGAGCAACAAGCGAGGGGACATGGACAAGATTTACGAGCTTCGGGACACGGGATATGTTTGATGAGATGCTCGTTTTGATGGAGTCTTACGCAACTCCACTTCTCCAAAGTAAAATGATTCTTGAGCTTCAATCATTCGCAGGAGTTTTACGAGACTAAAGCAGCGTGTTCGTGTTGTCTTGGGGAAAACATTGCTATGACAGTTTCGGAAGATCACGACCTTTGCTGGAGGAAATTGTAACAGCGCAGCTCTTGGTTCCTTTTCTGTAGCAGCTTTTCTATGATAATTGTCAACGAGGTCTGCTTTAGTAGATTGGAGATGAGACTTTCATCTTATGGCGATGAGGCATTCACAAGCTTCTGGAGCTCTCACCATGCAAGTGTTTTAAGCTTTCTTTGGTGTTTGCTCAGGTACTTAAACTCTTTTGCTAACAAGTTTTTTCTCACCTATTTCTCAACTATTTGGAAGAATGGCTCCAAATCTTTCCTCGCTTTGCCACTGGTATGCATGTCTCTTTGCGGCTACAAGCGCGTCCAGGAGAGATTTCTCGAGCAACACATGTCCGAGAGAATAGGAAGAGTCCTCAAGGAAGTGCTGCAGCAGCATTGACAGCCTCTTCCTTTCGACTAGTGCCACAGATATTGGACAGCAGCACATCTCCGGACTTATGACTGATGCCTGGTTTGCAACGTGCTTGGCGAGCTGGATATCATGAGAAACTTTGCATGATCCGAGGAGTGTTTGCCACGCCAAGCTCAGCTCTCGGGCGTCTTGCTGCTGCCAAGAGATCGACCATGCAGTAGAAGAGGTTGGATCAGTCGGCTCTCCTCTGATAGACCTCTCTCCCTCGAGCTGCATCGACTGGAAGAGCGAGATAGCCGAGCTCTGGTGCCCCGTGAGCGCATGGTTCTTGGCCATGGCCTCGAAAGCTCTCTCATCATTGAGAGGAAATCCTGGAAGCATAAGCTTTAAATGTTTCATGGCCGCATGTTTCTCTCATAACCTTTTATAGAATTAAGAAGCAGCATTTTAAATGCATGATGAAGGTTTTACAACGTATACTCTGTCTACATATTTACCTGAAACAATACTTCGCCCTCATCCTCCCAAACTGAACACCTTGGCATATGAAATGCTTTAACGCTTTATTCCATAGGCCCGCTATCCTTTGCCCGAGGCTTGGAACATGTTTGGGTAGCGTCACCTTGAGAAGCCCATCACTGAGGTGATATGTTGCCACATCCTCCACGACACCGCGGGGGAAGTAAAGCCTGCGAGCAAACACTTTGGTGCTCGCTCCGCCCCGCTCTACTCTCACCGCTTCTCCGCCATCATCTTCATCTCGAGCAACGCCAGTGATCTCGAGCACAAACCCCGACTTGTCCTCCACCCAAGCGATGTCCACGGTGGCCGACTGCGCGCCTGGCATCTCCGCGACGACCACGTACGAGCCTGGACGATCCACGATGTCCACCAATGGGGAGATGGTGACGACGCTTGAGTCGCCACCACAATCATCTGCGTCGTTGGAGGCGAGAGCTTCAGGCCGAATGAGCCCGGCCGCGTCTGAAATGGTGCACGAGGCCGGAGGAACACGCGCGGCAGCCACCGCAAGGTACTCCTCCTCCACAACTTGTTCTCGCTGCTCTCGCCCTGTTTGCTCCAGCCCTGGGACAAGCGGCAGCGTCATCCGCAACAGACCACTGTGAAGCTGGTAGCTTATCCTTTCCGCGTCCACTGCATCGGGGAGCACAAACTCTCGCGCAAACATCTTGGTGAAGGCACCACGATCCCTGAGGATGCGACGCTCTTTCGCCTCGTGAGAGATCCCAACGATAGACACGACTCGATGGAATTGAGAGCCCGAGACCTCCACCTTGACATCGCTGCTGCTCGCCACGCCCGGCATCTCCAAAAGGATGAGATACGAGTTGGGGAGACGGCGCACATCTGTGAGCGTGGCAGCTACAACCGTGTCGGCTATGAAGCACTTGTGCGCGCTCATAGCGTGCTCTACCTCAACCGTGCTGTTGCCGCAGCCGCGCGCCTGACGGAGAGAGCAGTAATCACGGCCGCACGCCTGCGCCGCGACAAGCACCAAGAATGCCATCGCCGCCCTCGCTGCCGCCATCGCCATTCTTCACCCTTCTCTGCCCTAGCAACTGGACCATGACTTATATACAAGAAAAGAAAAGGTATGAGCTCCCACGTGGAAGGATTCGATAGCTCAAGAATTCTGAGAGTCGATCAAGGATCAAAAACATCAAGTTAAACTGGAAACAGATCCTCACCATCTTCGTCTCTTGTTTTTGTCCACTCTTTCTTCGCTAGTGGAGAAAAAATAAATTGAAGAAAGTGGTTTTCTTAATGCTCTAATCAGGATGTGTTTAGGAAAATTTATAAATTATTTAAACAATTAATTTAAATGAATGCCACAAGCAAATGGACTGAGTGGATATACCTAAAATATTCTTGAATATTCTACCAGCTAACGGTTGTTATTCATTTCGATTAATTTTGTATTTATAATTTATAAGCATGTTTATAATTTATAAACTTTCTGAAACCTTTTCTTATATATTATTTTTATTGATTAATCTTGTGTTTATAAATTACAAACATACTTATAATTATAGACTTTATTTGATCAATTGAATTAATAAGTAATTAACAAACCAAGTGCAACATGTAGCAATTTATTTGTAATTTAATTAAGCGCTGCACTTCAGAATAAAGACTCGCCACCCTTGCCCCCAGCGCAATTGTCCGGATTTCTTCGTCCAAATGCGCATCCTCGTCACCATCGCTCCTGCTGCCAGGAGAGTGCCGCAATGCTGAAATTTGCGAGGGGAATGGAAGGTGCTTTCTTTGGTCTAACTTCTCTGAAGCAGGAACTAGACGATAGCACTGGAAATGATCTCCTCCGCAGCATGGGTTTTGCCACTCAAGACATCATTGAAGCTATGAGCAGCTGCGGTGAGAACAATCTTTTCTTTTCTGGTTTCTGATTTGAGCAAGGCTTCAGGAAGAGGAGCAGCGATTCAAACGATCATTGCGTATATAATTGAGCATGGATCTGGCGCTCAGCCGGTAGAAATGTCAGCTTTCTCTGGTGTTGAGAATTCTTTATCTGCAGGACGAGGATATGACTGCGTTAGATACATTGACGACACTCGGCTACAGCTACGAGCAGGCGTCACAAGCAATTGCATCGTGTGGTGAGCTTTTTCCGTTCGAAAAGAATGTCTATCAAGATTTGCATTTTCAGGGGCGGAGGACATCGATGTTCTTGTCGATTTCCTCGCAGCTCGCGACTTCGACGCGTTCGAGGACGATCTGGAGGTAGCAGTTCCCCGGAGGAGAAAACGAGCGCGGGTGGAACATCACTCTCGTCCACTGAACGGTTTTGGCTCGCCGGACGAGACTCTGGAACGTCACTCTCGTCGACTGAAAGGTTTCGGCTTGCCGGCCGAGACTCCCATTCCCAGGAGGTAAGTATATGCGTTCTTTTGAGCATGTCTTCCTGTCCTCGGGCAAACTTTCCATGCCTAGAAAAATTGTTGTTGTCCAAGCAATATCTCTCAGTCACTGAAGTTCTCAAAAGGAAATCTCTTCTCTAAAAGAAAAAACCACAGACTTACCACTGGCAATGTGTCAATAGAGACTGTAGAGCGGCCGGGTGTTATAGTCTGCCGGCGTGCAAATTGCCGCTAGTCTGGCCATACACCGTGAGAAATCTCTAGCTACATTCCAATGCAAATTCCATCTATGGCGACTTACCAGGTCGGCGCCCTCGAGCCGCGAATCGTGATCCTTTGGACTGGCAATCGAATATTCTTGCTACTTGAAACCAGAGTTTTAGGGTTTTACGCTTGGGAACTTGGAAGCATGGCGCTATGGAAGATCGCGGGAGGCAGTTGGAAGTCTTTTGCTTTGCGAGTTGCTGGGGTTGCTGGTGTTGCTGGCGCTGGAGTTGCCATATATTACGGGGCTCCTAAGCTCGCATCGTGTGTGGGAGAGAGCGTGATCTTGGGAAGCCAGGTGATCGGGCAGACAATGAGCAAGGCTGGAGAGAGGATGGAGCAGATCTTTCAAGCTGGAGCAAGCTCTGTGGAGAAAGTGGTGCGCGTCGGGGCTGAAGCAGTCAGTGATGGGGTCAAGGAAAGCTCCAAATCCGGCTCGGAAGCAGTGAAAGAGGCCGCGACCACTCTCGGATCGTCTTTGGAGAATGCTGCCTCCAACATAGGCCTTGGACTCGCTGTGGCCGGACTCTTCATCGGAGCTGGGCTCGTCTTTGGGGGAAAGAAATGATCGTGCCTTTCCCTTCCTCTTCTCTTTGTTTCTCTTCATCGGCGCTTTTGGGGAAAGAAATGATCGTGTCTTTCCCCTCCCTTTGTTTCCCTTCGTCGGATCTTTGGGGGATAGAAGTGCTCGTGCCTTTCCCCTCCTCCTCCTCTTTCTCTAAAGCTCAAAGCTTGGAGCTTTCCTGCCTTCTCCTCTCAATGCCTTGAGAACGAGATTCCTCGAGCTCTTGTTCGTTCTCATGTAATTTTGCTAGAGCATCAAACGAATCGAAGTTTTTGGTATGAAATTGGTCTTGTCTTGTAAAGTTGTATGGAGACGATTACTTGTGTCTTAAGATTACTGGATCACACAGATAAACGAATGGCAGGTTTGAATTTGCTCAGCCAGAGAACGGAAGTCGTGAAAAGTTTTCGAATTCTCGATTTTCCATGCGTGCTAGTTTCTCTCAACCTGGGGGAACGAAGTTAGAAATGAACGACCAAAGCTTCGGTACCTCACCGAGCTTGTTTTGTTTCTCTGTAACGCCCGACTTCCACGCTATAGACAATAGCCCCAACCCAAAGAAAACATACAAAGGAAAAATGAAACATACATACCAGTGGCAAACCTGTTAGCAGAAGAATGGAAGTACCTGAGCAAACACCAAAGAAAGCTTAGAACACTTACCAAAGACTCGTCTCCAATCTACCAAAGCAGCAACCATTGGACCTCACTGACAATTATCATAGAAAAAAGGAAAGCTCAAAGCTTACCAAGAGCTCCGCAGCTACAATTTCCTCCAGTCATGATGATCCGAAACTGTCGTAGCAATGTTTAACCCCAGACAACACGAACAACGCTGGAAGAACCATCCGCCGCTGCTTTAGTCTCGTAAAACTCCTGCGAATGATTGAAAAATCACTTTACCTTGGAGAAGAGGCGCGTAAAACTCCATCAAAACGAGCATCCCTCAAAGATATCACGAGATAGAAACTTTGCTGCTTAGAAACCGCGTCCCAAAGCTCGTAAAGCTTGTTCATGTCCCCTCGCTTGATCTCCTTGCTGCTCGTCAGCGCCGTGAGAGCGATCCAGACACGCTGCCAGCACTCCTCGATCTTTCTGGAAGAGCAACGAACACCCCGGCATTGGACTTGTTCTCCATCGCTGCTGCGCTTTGACCGTACTGAGCAATAGCCGCGATAATCGAACATGTCCCGCGCGGGCATTCGATCGAAGAGCTTAAGCACCACAGCAACATCCGCGATCTGGGCATATGCAGGATGATCACGCTCCAGGCAACAAGATCACGCTCCTGCATGGAATTCTTCCAAAACTACGATCGTGGCTTACGCATGAAATCTCAAGCTGTGAGTAGCCCGAGAGGTCTTCAATTCCATCCGGTTCGGGCATTCGATCGAAGACTTTCTCTGCGTCATGCAAATACCCTGCTTGGGTAAATGCTGCTAGCATCGCATTCCCCACCGCGCTGTTTCTCTCGGGCATTATGCCAAACAGATACTTCGCCTCCTCAATCCTGTTTTAGTCAGCACACCATCACAGACCATGCGACGATGTTCTTCGCGGGCCTTGAATCGAAGAGTTGCTTTGCCAGGAATAGATTCCTTGCTCGGGCATAGCACTGATACAATTGCCAAGCATACGGCATCCCACTCCGGCATTCGATCGAGCAGATCTTTCGCTTCGATCACCGTGACCACCTTTGTCTCTTTTAAGCCTCCAAAAGGACCGCACAGCCTGATGCTCATGAAGAATACTAAAAAAGGAAGTTTCGAGAGATTGAATGATTACACTCGATGCGTTAAAAGGAAATGAGAAAAAGAGCATATTCCTTTTTTTTTCTTTCCTTGGGCGGAGAAAGAGCCAGAGGCAGAGGCGAAGGTGGATCGATATGGCAGTGTAGTCACAATAACATGTAAGTCTTTCTCACTCGTGATCTTGCAATATTTCGGTGTTTCAGACGAGGCGAATGATCGAATCAGTTTCACACTCACTACATCATCATTAGGTTGCTTAGCTAGAGCTGCAATCAATATGACAAACAATGGAGCAGTGAGTGATCATGACTAGGCTCCTCATGACAAGCTCTCTTGACGAGAATTCAGAAGGTGGCGAAAGTGGGAGCTCTAGAAGAAGGCACTCGATTGGTGCAATCGACTGAGAGTTCTCTTGGACGTTTTCAGGAGAGAACGCGCTGGGGGATCTCGCCGAAGATTTTCTCTGCTTGAGAGAGATTTGTGAGAGCCCCACGATCATGGAGTTCCAGGAAATCGCAGTGTGGCACGGCATTCAATCTAACAGGTGCTGCGCTCGTTCCAGATCCCCCTGCTGCATGCAGATCACGAGGATCAATTTGCAGGACACCGCGTCTCGCTCGGGCATTGAATCGAACAGCCGCTGGGCTTTGTTGTGATTGCCGCTCAGCAAGAACGCCGAGATCATCAAGTTCCACAACACGAGATCCCGCTGCTTCATCTAGCGACTGAAGATGGTCTTGGCCTTGTCTGGATCATGTTTCAGAGTGCAGTGCTCACCAGAGGAGTGGAATCGATTATAGCTTGTGCTCGATCGACATTGCCAAGCTCGCTGTGAGCGGAAGATCAGAGAACTCACAGACACGATATCGCCTCCTTGATCGATCCATTGTGAGAAAATCTCGCAATGAGAGTGTTCCACAACACTTGATTCTTCTCTATCATCGTGTCGAAGATCTGTCTTTCTGTTTCCAGATGCCTGGCTTAGGCATTCGCGTGAACCATAGCAGTCCAGGTAACTACAATCTATCTGAGAATGTTTCCGAAAACATTATCGGCATCTATCAAACTATCGCTTTAAGAGTACGCCTATAACATTTTGGGCCAAGAGATCACATCTCTCTCGTCCATGGTATCAAAGAGAAGCTTCAATACTTAAACATACCCGTTCTGGGTATATGGTGTAAGCATCGCGTTCTAGGGATTAGGAGCGATCGAAAACCAATAGTGATTTAAACTTTTATGAATGAATGAGACGAGACTCTCCACGAATTTCTTAAGGTTCGTATGAGAAGAACCTCCGGGAGAAGCAGCCTTCAATCTCCTGCCTTGCTCTCCCTCCATGATCGCCCTCACTTCTCTTCCACCTCTTCTCTCGGCGCAAATCCATCCTTCCCTCCAGATCTCGAGAATTATATTCCCACGCCCTCGCCTTCCAGCACCAGCTTGGTTCGTGATTTGCTCGAACATAGATGGCCACCCCAGCATTGGCACTCCACACGGCAGGCTCTCGAGCATGGAGTTCCATCCCCCTGTTGATGCGTGCTGCATGATCTCTAGCTGCGACTCCAAGCTCACGAACAATCCTCTAGAAACCTTTGTAGAACTCCTAGAGCAGAGTTGTTGGTCATCCTGATACGATGCTACGCAGCTGATGGGAACTTGGATCAAGCCCAGGGAATGTTTCATCGAATGCCCGAGAAGAATGTAGTGGCATGGACTGTGATGGTTACCGCATTTACCCAGAAAGGAATTTGGATAGAAAAAAAGCGTTTTTTGGAGAGAAATCCTGTTTCTTGGGGTGCTCTAATGCAGCACACGACCGGCTGGAAGAAGCGAAGCGTTTTTTTGATGAGATGGAGAACCCAAACATTCACGTCTACACTGCGATGATCACTGCGTATGCCAAAGCTGGAGAAATTGAAAATGCCGAGAGGACTCTCATGCCTGAGAAGGACGTGGTCGCTCAAACTACAATTCTGCAAGCGTTTGCGCACAAGGTCTTGTCGAGAAGACAAGGAATATCTTTGATTTAATCCTTGATAAGGATGAAATGGCTTGGAACGCTATGATCACTGCATATGCCCAAAACGGGCAAGCATTTCGTGCAAAGCAAGTGTTTGATTCCATGCCCGCAAAGAGACGAAACATCGTCACTGGGAACTCGATGCTCTCGGCGTTTAATCTCAATGGCCATCCTCACCAAGCTCTGGAGCTGCTAAAAACCATGCAGCTCGAGAGGATCAAACCAAACGAGATAGCTTTCATGCAGCCCCATGGAGACGACGAAGAGATGCGCTGGTGGCAGATGATGGACAGTCCACAGCACCAAATCCATCATGAGAGTTCGATCGGAGGCCAAACTGGAAGAGAAACAAAAATCACAATGATTGATCCATGAAAATCTAGCAAAGAGAAAAGATCAAGAGAATTTACACGATGGCAAATGGTGGAGAGAAATCCCAATGCAATCTTGTATGC